ACTGCAATAGGGAGAATCCAGATTGCCAGTATACTTTATAGCATACAGTAAAGTACATTTTCATCACAATGCGTTTCTTTATTTCAATTTGGGGAAGTATGCTTATACCAAGTTCTGGTCCATATATACACGTTATCAGTACAAACAGTACAATCACGTCATTATTTATTTAAGATTTGTTTTATCAGTGTTGTACAGCACGCAGACTTACAGATAGCTGCTTCCACAAAACTTATAATCAACTTGTGCTACTTCTGAATTTTCTGTTTGCATATGTGGCCTTTGTCATAGTTTCTGAGCATCTTACAGCCTTGAATGAACATGTTCTCATAGCAGTAGGGAAATATGAGAGTGCTGTTGCCCATTTAACAGAGAAGTAAATGAGGGACAGAGCATAAGGGACTTGGCAAACGTTACACAGGAAGACTTTGGCAGAGCTGGTAATAAACCAGTCCTTCCTCATACTGGTCTGGTATCATATGGTATCTGGTATCATATCTAGCCATCAAAGCATGAAGACTGGCTTGTGATATTCTGATCTTTCATGCAGGAAATTGCAGACGTGAATCTGAATAAGTAGAGCACATACTTTTTAGGATTCTGTTAAGTGATACAATTTTGTCCCCTACAGTAGACAGTGTTGTCATAGCACAATAGTTTTTGAAGAAGTACTTGAATATGACATACTTTCTCCTGTGCAGACCTGTGATTCATCACTAAACTACAAGCCCAGAGAATATGGATTTTAATCTCGCCTTTTTACTAATGCCAGTTAATTCTGCTGTGTACTTCACAACATTTACTATTAAGCAAGACTTCATGCACTAGCCTTATGCTTTAACCATCATTCATAGAGAAAGCTTTGACCGTTCAGGCAGAGGTGGGAATAGACCTCAGGTAAGTACTACAATGCAGCCCAATCCTAGCCATGTGCTGCAGTTTTTAAGAAGGAGCATACCAAATTAGATCCTTCTGTAGTCCACAGTATTGTTTTGTACCACCCTACAGTAAGTAGCTAGCCCACATATGGAGGCTTACATTTTTTATTCTACTTCTGTGTTCAGTGACTTGATTATTTAGCTTAAGTGGCAGAGATTAATGCTTTTGCATTCAAAAGTCTGGAGTTCAGTCCCTTAACTAACCCAAATGGGAATGTTCATACTTTACCACTAAATCCTGGCTGCAATCCCTGCAAGGACCAACAAGTCTCTCAAATGTTTATAATAATCTGCTGACAATGTGTTTTGTTTCTCTGTGGTTTGGTGTGGTCACCAGAAAGAACATGGGCAGCTTTTTGGGGTTTTGTGCCCAGTTAGTCTTACAGCTGCAGATTGTACTGTAGATCTGAAGCCATCAGATTCAGAAGATAAAAGGAAAAAATATTTGTATGAAAGCTTGTGTAAGGACCCATAAATTGTTGAACTTAATTTATGTTCAGCAACATCATATTTGGATGTGAATCTATGTGTTAACATGTGTTGTTCCCATCGTTTTAGTGGGAACTGGAGCTTTTAAGAACAGGGTGCGGCAGCGTGTGCACCGCTGCCTGGAAGGTGTCCTGTGCCTGCAGAGGGCAAGCCCTGCTTCTGTATGAACCCCGGAAAGGTCAGAAATTATGTTTAATCCTCAAAGATGGAACATGCAAGCCTTGGCTTCCAGCACCCCGCTGGATTTCAAGGTTTTAGTGAAGTTAGACAAAGAGGAGAAATATGTTGGACCAGGTCCTTTATGATGGATGTTGACACCTTAAATGTGTTTTCCAGTCAAACTGGTGAAGACAGTTACACTCCTTAAGGCCCCACCTAGGACACAGGCAGATTTTTCATTTAACCCCGGACTAACACTCACTCCCTACGGACCTGGCAAGCCTCTCCTGCCGCCTTTCTCCATCTGTCCAGTGAGGAGTCTGCTCTGAAGCCTGCGGGGCCGCTCTCCCCCGCTTCTGCATCCTCCTTCTCACTGGGGGGCTCCAAGAGGTGCCAGGTCGAGGTGTCAATCCGGGCAGCGGGAGTAAGAAGTGGCTTCCACGTGCCCTCCTCCGGCCCACGCGCCTGCCAGGGCCGCTCGCACGAGCCTCGCAGGGAAGCAGCTGTCCGGGGAGCCTGCGGGAGGAGCTGCACAACGCCGTGCGGGCTGGGCACCGCCCTCCCCCCGCTGGGGAAAGCACCCGGCTGCCGGCGCGCCTGGAACAATAGGGGGGCCGGGGCCGGGGCTCCCACCGCCGGGGGCTGATCCCCGGCAGCAGCCGAGCGGGCGGGGGAGGAGCCGGAGCTGGAGCCGAGGCCGGATTGGCGGCGGGCGGCGTGATGCCACGTCCGGCGGGGGAAGCCCTGCCTCGCGGCGAGCGGTGCAGGTGGCG